GCAATACACAAGTGAGAGGTTCATAATGAATGCAATTAAAACAGGCTTGGCCAGTTTGCTAACATGTTTAACATTCTCTTTTAGTGTTGTGCCTCAATCAACAATGATGAAGATCATCCGGTGAAAACAACCGTTGCTGATAATAACATGGAAGTCACTCTGAGCCCAAGTGACACTGCAAACACTGAAGCCGCTCAGAGCCGAAGTGACACTGCAGACGGGACCAGGATACCAGCCAACTAGGAGGGACACCATGAATGCCCTCAGTGGAACTTGTTTTGTGAAGCGTACACCTCAGTTGCTGAACACATGACGACTTTTCATCTTGGCACTGGGAGTGTCTTTGTGTGTAGCAAGTGCAGCTCCACATTTGGATTTTTGAAGCATTACAAAGAACACTTCAAGATATTCAAGAAGAAAACTTCAGCTTTCTCGAGTGCTAGCCAGAGCAACGAAATGGACAATGGAAATCTTTTAGAACTTAGTTGTCCTGAAGGGCAGGATGCCACACAAAGTGTTACTGTAGTTGATAGGCTGTTAAGTCCGTGCAGGTGCCTGGAAGGACAGCACAGGTGTCACAAGACAGTCATTGACATTGTTTTTGAAGAAGTTCATGAAGTGTTTGCGATGGCTGGAGTGCCTTTTAACACCGAACACACAAACTGACCGCCTCCGAAAGCAGCACTATAAAAATGTAGGTGTCATTGCTCCTCCTACTCAGGTGAAGCTCTTGGGGAATGCAAAAGCCTGTATCATAAAGCTATTAGATCTTCTCCAAAACCTTCTGAGTCATCCAGAGGTTGTTGTCTACATGAGAAATTCATGCAGACCTCAAAATGATTGTGTCTTTGGGGATTTTCGGGATGGAGCAAGGGTTTATCCGCATCCCATTTTTAGCAGCATAAGAAAAATATCCTTACTGAATTTATACTGCGATTATATTGAACTTGCGAACCCTATCGGCACAAAGTAAGACAGCCTAGGTAAACTTGGTATTTTTTTATGTGAGACTGTTGCACTTGCAACCTCATGAACGCTCCAAGCTGAGTAATATATTGTTGGGCACTGATCACACGGCAAATTTGAAGGAGTATAGTGCACGGCTGAAATTTTTTTGAAGAGTTTATAGAAGTGTTGAGAGCGCTGGCCGATGAAAGGTTAGTATTACAGTAATGGTAAACACAAACAGATGTGTTCGGATTACTGAACGCTAGCGCAAGATGCAGATAGTGAAACTGTGATATTTTCCAGTAAGAAACTAAATACAGAAACTTTTGATCTCACTTAGTAATGAGTGGTTTGTTGAACATTAATAAATATTGTTCTTAGAAAACCAGAATTTTTTTATCTCAATATGTTGTTTGTTGGAAAATGCTTGGGTACACCTCTTGCATGCTTCGTGCAACAAAAAATGGACAATTGTGATAATACTGCGAGTTCCTAATGTGTTTATTTCTTTGAATTTCAATAAATGGAATATACACCCTTTAACAGAATGTGTGGGCGATGCTAACAATTAGTTCACTCAATACTTTATTGCTCTGAAAATTTGAAAGCAAAGAAAAAACAAGAAAAAACGGGCGAAGGGTCACAACACGGAGTGGTGCTAACTTTCAGCTGATTTAATCAAGTCAGTCAACCCCAGCGCGATAGTCGATTGTGTTTATGGGATGTTTTTATCACAAGGTGTGGGCAAGATCGACAAGACTGTTCACGCATGCGCGCTGGGTTTGACTGACTTGATTAAATCAGATGAAAGTTAGCGCCAGTCCGTGCTGCATGTGTCTCTTCCTCGTCTTTGTTATTTTCTTTTCGTTTTTATATCCTAACTAGCCCAAACCAAAGATTTAACTTAGCATATGCTTTATTGAGCCTGAAAGAAAAATGGAATATGACGGGCGTGCAAGTTGTAGAAAATTTGTTTTCCTTCAAATCAGAAGTTTTTTTTTTTTTTTTTTGGTGCCATGCAAGCTAATAACGCATAATTCCTGACAAGTTTTGATAATGTAACTGATTGATGCTGCTAGCAGAAATTGAAAAAACATGTTTAAGATAATCGTGCTTGTGCTTAAAGTTACAGGCGTTAGACAGATCGCATACTTTAGGGCGCTAGTTATTCGGCTCAATGCTATGCTACACTTGGGCATTTAATAAGCTCACGTTTTAAATTCCTGGAGCAGCAACAATGGTATGACGAAAACGTCGTTGTGGTACAGTTATAACGTTAATGGTATACTTTCTAAAATATGGACAATTCAGCTGGCAAGATCTTGTGCAATAGCGTGGACAGGTCGCTCGCCAAAGGAAGGGCGCCCGTGCGCAAGCGGTTATATATATACAGTTATCCGAATAGGCCGCAGAAGAAGGTTGTTTGTGCGTTGGACTACGTTTCGATTCCGCGGTTGTTTCTTTTAGCGGAAGCGTAAGAGACGTGCCAGAAAACGGTTTATATTTTGCAAGAGTATGCTTTTGTCAGTCTTTAACTGTCTATTTACTCTGATAATGCTCTTTCGCAACACAACTCGTGCAAGACGTAAGTAAGCGAAGTTAAATAAGTGGGAGTTTGGGGCGAGCCAGATGAATGTATGAATGTAGATGTATGTTCCCTTTAACGTGGCGGACGATGTTGGGCAACTTTGGCAATGGAAGCGAGCGAAACATGTTTACAGCGGGTCTGTCACTTGTGCCCAAGCCTTGCTTTTAAAGGACGCAATTGGACCTGTTTTTACTGTTCTAGCGACAAAGTGCGGTGTTCCTTCATGCGCTGCTTACGCGGAAGGACCCCGGAACCATTATGCCAAACAATAAAATACTACATCGAACTGGGTATAAATGATAAATAATCCCTGGAGAGCAGGAAATGCTATTGTAGTTTCTCCCATTAGGCAGGCATTTATCAAACCGATGTATACAATCCCTTCGTCGGTCGATGAGTATGTGCACGTGTGCGCGGTTGTGGTGTATAGTGGATATGTTGTCTGGTTCTCACTTCGCGGGCGTGGGTTCGACCCCCCTCATGTGATATGTGTTTTATTGCTGTATATTGTGTTCCAGTTCAAGAAACAATTAGTAGGACAATCGTGCCGGCTGTCTGTTCCTCCAAGTCTGTGCAGAATGGCGGAAAATGGCGTTGTATTATTTTGCCGCAATTTCAATTTATTTATTTATTTATTTATTTCGGGTTACCCCGCAGCGCCCGAAGGCATTATTGCAGGGGGGGGGGGGGGGGTACATAGTTGTGAGGGTAGAAATACACACGTGCATATGTACCAAAAAACAAGAAATAACGCAAGCTCACAGGAAAACACTCAATCAAAAGCAAGCCCAGAATATGATGAAAGAAACATCGGTGACTGGCATTCCATGTACGTGCCAGGTAAAAGAATCAGCTGAGGAAAATATGTGCTAACAGCGAAATTAAACAACTCACTTGCTGCATGACAAAAAAAAATACGCACACACAGATGTAGTTTTATCAACTTCGTTCAAAGAATAATAAAGTAATCGAAGTAGGAACAAATAAACATACAACACTATCGCGCCCAGTAATCACTCAAAATTCACATCGCGAGGATCAAAACATTTTTCTAGTCTTGTTAGTCTGGCCAGCTGTCACGTGACAGTCTGTCAAAGAAAAGTGAGTTTGACAAAATAGAAACGGAGTCATTTGGCAGGGCGTTCCACTCTTTAATAGTGTTGGGAAAAAATGAATATTTCAGAACGTTGGTTCGGGCTGTCCATTCTCTAATTTTTTCCGAGTGGTCTAATCTCCTAGATACGAAGTTGGGGCGTTGAATAAACTTAGCTTTATTAATCCCGGTTGGATCACGGTAAATTGCGTGAAGAAACTTCAAACGAAGACGTCTTCTTCTGGAGGAAAGCGGCTCCCACTCTAATTGCCTTTTAAGAGCGGTAGCACTGTCTCTGTAATTGTAGTTTCTTGCGACAAATCTCGCAGCCCTGCTCTGTACTTGCTCTATTTTTTCCCCAAGTAACTCTCTTTTGGGTCCCACAGTACACTGGCGTACTCCAGTATCGGCCTAACGTTAGTCTTAAAAAGAGTTGCTTTAGCAGTTTGGGGACAGTCCCTGAAATTACGTTTCAAAACGTTTAACATGCGGTTGGCTTTGGCCGTGACGAAGTCGATGTGTGCGCTCCATGACAAATTATGAGAAAATTTAACACCTAGATACTTTACTACTTCCTCCAATTATGGAGGAATTATGTGGCCTTTAGGCCACATAGTTGTAGGCCGCTTATAGCCAGGAAAATATTGATCTCAAATACTGCATTAAATTGTCACGCATGTTGAAGAGCCTGGTAAAATCAGGCCGCATGAACCTGATCCGCGTGACAACGGGCCGCTTGAATCTGGGCCTCATGACAATGGGTCGCTTCAGTTGAGACACCTAAACCAACTGCTTGTAAGCGGCAAAATTTTAAACCGCTTTCCTGCTTATATGCGTGCATTTCAGCATGGATTTAACTAAGAGTGTAGTCACGAAATATTCAGGCATAATATTACCAATCGTTTCAAAATGAGAAATCGCTTCCACCTGTTAATACAGGGATTTTGAGTGTGACGTGCGCACTCAGTCCCACTTGTAAATAAGTATTTAATGTCAAACTTTAGTGGCTATGTTAATGCCAGTAAAGTTTGATGCCAGTAAAATTCACTCCATCACACTTGCTCAGTAACCTGCCCGACACATGGAAAATCGTGAACAGGAAGTGAAATATTCAGGCCTTTGTGCATTGCATCTAGAAGATGAACATCTGAGTGCTCATGACTGGAAGGAAGCGCCACGTGTCGTCGTTACCTACTTCTTTTGTCCACGTCTTTCGGCGCTTCCTTCCAGTCATGAACAACCAACTAGCCCAACTTAATTCTGTTGCAATCTGAGTGTTCGCAGCTGCCTTAAGTGAATCCCGTAATGTTTGTTTCTTTTTTCATTATTGCAGGAACACTGTTCTATGAAGCTCTCACTACTCCTGTCCAGATGACAGCCTGCCCCTCTGCACCTGACCCACTGCCGAGCCACCAGGCCCACACCGATGTAGACGGCCTGCCAGAGAGCTGCCCACGCTGCAACGTTTTTTACACAGACTTTGTGCTATTGAGTAGTGCTGCGGCGGCACAGCTCGAAAGACAAACAAGAGGCACGACAAATGCCTTGTGGCACGAGTCAAGGGGGTTACGCGTCACAGCATCCAACATTGTAACAGTACCAAAAATGCCACATACTGCCCATGAGAGGGCGGTACTGTCGCTTACAAGCAGAACATTCCGGGGGAACGCTGCGATCAGGCGTGGTCAGAATTTCGAGCCCATTGCACGTGCGCAGTTTGTGACAGAGACCGGATTGAGTGTTTCTTTATGTGGAACAGTTGTCTGTTCAGAGGTGCCTTTTCTCTCTGCTACTCCTGATGGTATTATCCAGTCTTGTAATGCCATCCTTAAAATCAAGTGTCCCGACACGGACGATTGCAAAGCGCTGATAGCACGAGGGGGTTACGAAGTGAAAAGTCAAGGCGACAAGTTTTTCTTGAACCCCGAGCACGACAAGGGGTTTTACAGTCAAGTGCAGTTCACGATGCTATGTACTAGAAAGACACTCTGTTTTTTTTACGTATGGTCGCCCTGCTCTGTAGCACTATTCACAGTGCTGTTTAATGAGCAATTCATAGCGCAGAACATGGCTCATCTGACGAAGTTTTATTTTTCTTCAATGTTGCCATACCTCGAGCAGAAGTACAGGAAGGGTTCGCTCCAACTGTCCTCAGACTACAGGCGGTTGACACAAATGTGATGTAGCAGCGCATATGTACCCTAATGTACATTACGGTATTTTCGGGACTATCGTCTGCATACTATGCATGTTTAAAAGTTAATTTATTTAGGCTGTGCACAATACGGTTTTTCAAAATTGTTTTATTTTTTGTTGTAAGGACTATCCACTGGCGGACTATACAGGATTTGTTTTTCAGAGTGGTCTATACCTTACGAGTACTATCTGGCACGCCTAGTGTGACGGATAAAATCACGCTGTTTTGACTTGAAAATGCCACACAAGGCCATGCATGCACAGCATTTATTTTTCCCTTTTTGCCCTCATGGGTGACCGCGGCGACACTGATTGCCCCCCAAAGGACAGACACGACCTTGTGCAGAAGCTTTGTGGCTGGGCAAAAAGGAATCCCAAACAGCCTATAGCTTTGGATGTAAAGAAATTGTTTAAGAAAAATCAGTGACCATACATCATACTGAAACCACGGTAGCAATACCACCGAAAAAAAGGAGCATTCACAGCAGCTTTTAAACTGTGAAAGAGGGTACACAAGAGCTCAAGTCAAAAAGGGCAGCGGACTACTCACTAGGTGCAGAGTATCTAAAGGAAAAATTTTCTTTTATCGAAATAAGCCTGCAGGCTATCAAGCATAACTTCTTTTTAGGTTCAGACTGGCCCGTGCAGACTACAGTCCAGAAAATATGGTACCTGTATCCAGATGTGAATTGCCTCAAAAATCATATTCAACAAAGTCTAGCTTCTCACAAAGCATTACCGATGACAAGACCCTCCTTTCTAACAGAACTCCAATCATCACCGTAGATGAGTTTTGACATACCTGATTGTCAGGCCCTTTCCGCTGAATAAATCGGTTTCCTCCAGAAGGTTGTCTCCTTTTGAAGAAGTGGGTCAACCAATGAGAGGAGGTGGTCAAATCTGTAGACAAAACAGATTTAGTAACTCACAAATACAATATTCACTACCTTGCTCTGTTCCCACATTAATGCTTTGACATGCGTGAACCAGCAATATTTCATCATTGGTATAAGGAGTGCCATGAAGCTCTGAATAGTTGAATGAAATTTCCACCCTAAATATCTTCACAATTTGTTCTCCTGTGTAATAATTTACTAAAGAGTGAGAACTCCCCCAAGCCCCATAAGAAGACCTACAATATACCTTAAGTAAAACTATTATAATATCTCGAGATATCCCCTAATTTTTTCTCCAATCTTGCAAAAGCACCAAAGGATAACTCATGGAAATAACACAAGCCAAAAGACATCTGCAATAAAGGGCCAACTATTTTCATGTTTGTCGTCTTGACGTATTTGCAATATTTGCCGGGGTCTTCATTGGCACAATTCAAAACAGCTCGAAGACAGCTTTTAGCAGACCAACAGAGCTTCGGTACTAGGTGTAATCAAGCGTCCATGAAAAGAACAGCTGCTGTTCCATGGTTGGTACAAACGGTGGCCATGGCAGCATTAAATAATAATACAGCTGAGAGCAGCTATATTTAGCACCAAAATAATAAACAAATGGGCTAAAACCCTGTAGTGAGTTCACTGCATAGTGTAGGTTTTGTGTACTGAAGAAAGTAACCACAAACAAAACATCAAATATTTTTACTGCATAAAAGTTGTGAACTGTAGGAAATAGTAATGTTAAGTATAGTAGCTTATTCAATAAATTTCGTGTTGGATGTACACCGGTATGAGAAAATGAGTAGCTGCACCGCACTGATGTCGTGTTCATGGTGTGTCGTGCGCTATGCACAGAAGAGCACATATGTATACATACGTAAAGACCGCCACTGACCAGTCGCTGGGGGTTAGAAGCAAAAAAAAGCTGCTGGTAACAACATGATGTATTTGCCGGTGTTCCCGCAATCACTTCGGTTGAACCTTCCCAGCTGGCTGGTGGCAGGAGGATTTGAATGCAACCGCGTAGTTGAATTAAATCGTAGCCACAAGGATAGCCGAAATCTGAAAGGCTGGGGCTAGGGTTCTGTCCAGACGGAACCATAGTCACCACTAGAGCACTATATAGCTCCTTCGGAGCAGAGCAGCGCAATCTAGAACGCCGTCTCTCGGCGACTAGCGGCGAACGCCCGGAGGTTCCAACTGCGGTCAGAAATGCATGGAGAACGTGAGAAAATCGTTGTTTCTTCAGTATTGTGGGGATGTACGGAATGGCAATCGTTTTTGACATAATAATAAAACATTTTAGAATAATTTGCGCTAAGTTTTGTGCCACGCAAGGACGTAACTTTTTTTAAAAAATTGCCTGAGCGGCATCATGCAGCAGACGACACGGCGACGTCACACCATTCACGTGACCCGCTCCGGCCAACCCGAAAAGCCCATCTCCGCTACGAGCAAAAATCGTCTGCTTCAAACGCCATTGCCTTAGAAATTGCCTTCTCAAAATTTGCACACGCATCCGATATTATTAAAACTTTGATGAAGTGTTTAGTGCTTTACTAACCTCACGACAGACTAGTTTTGAAAAGTTTGAACTCGCCGTTAATTTTTTTAATTAGCCGTGTTGTGTCGATCTCCATGTATTCTCCTATGGGGCGGGCCGCCTCCTGGAACCCTGAGTACCACGTGACTTGCGCCGAGCCGCTCTGTCGGCCATGTTGTCGGCAAAGCATGGGGTTCAAAAGATTGCGCTACTCTGCTCCGTAGGAGCTTTATAGTGCTCTAGTCACCACTAGAGTTCCGTCCAGACAAAACTGATAGTCACTGCGTGTTTCACCTAATAAGCTTAAGAAATATTACAAAAAAATGACATTTTATTTTTTATGAAGCTAACGAATTTTAACGATAATAAACTTATGTATGTTAAGCATGATCCGACAGCCTCCATGCGAAAAGAAGAAGAAAAAACGTGTGACCTCTTTTCCGCAGGATATCGGGAAGAAGAGAAAGCCAGCTGGGTGTGCCGTTCCTTTTCTCTGCTCCTGATTTTTTGTTGATTTCACCCCAGTCTCTATTTGTAAGTAAGACAAATCTGAGCAATCAGTCGTGACCACGAACAACCGACTGCAGCTCATCGCGGTACGGGTTACTTCAAGTAACCAAAAACACGGCATGACCTCGCAACCCAGTACACCAGTACTGGCACAAGAGACCGCACCTTCGTGCTCCCAGCAGACTCCTGCTGACAAGGACCACTCATATCATGCCAACCAAGAAACCCAGCCTGGACGCCTCAATCTGGGGAAGCGACACAGCGACGGGGACAACAGTTCCCTCGAAACATCGTCGACACCGGCGAAACTACAAGCGCCCCAGAACGACGAAATGGACCAAGATTTTACAGAAGGCGACCTGGAAGGCTTTGTTCTCGTCGAACACCGTCGGCAAAGAACGACAGGTATTCCTGTGCTTCTTGCGCCCGTGAATGAGGAACAACGGTTGCAGAAACAAAACCCGCGAAGCCTAAGCACCGAAGTAAATCAGGCAGCAGCAGCGGCCATTTTACGACATCGCTTCACCAACAAAGGCGGCCTTCTGGTAGAAGTTGCTGAAGTCGCCACAGTTGACCGACTCCTCAAACTTCGCTCTCTCGGTGGGGTTCCAATCCAAGCTACCGTACCCAGGAACTATCTTCAAAATGGCGGAATGATCAAAGGGGTGCCCCTGTGGCACACCGATGCCGAATTGGCATCGTTTCTACATCAAGACGGAGTAATCGCAGCCCGCCGTCGATACCGACGTCGAGGAAAGCCCGATGAAGCTGCGCAACCAACAGACCGGGTTGTCCTCACATTTCGCCCAAACTCTGATCGTCCATCAAGAGTAAATCTTGGATTTACCAAACATGAAGTAACTGAATTTGTTGAAGCACCGACCAGATGCTTCCAATGTCAAGCACTTGGCCATGTCGCCAAATATTGTAAAAGAGAAACTAAATGCAAGAAATGTTCTCAACCACATCTCACCAAAGACTGCAAGGGAGATTTACCAGCCAAGTGCGCAAACTGCGGTGGAAACCACCCTGCAAGCTACGTCAATTGCAAAGTTCGCCTAACGGCTCTTACGAAAACAAAGAGATTTGTCCACGGCCCAAAGCGCACGCCACCATCGACTGAAAACAAGACTGATCAAGACACTTTACCTGCTGATACAAGCACCATTCCTTACCTTCAACAAAAATAATCGGCATCTCAAGCCCCAAAGACTCGAGAAGCACCTCGAAAAAAGAAAAAGAAGACATATGCTGCCGCGGCTAGTACAAAGACAGCCGACTATAATTCCACTTACGAACTGATTCCCTCTTCAGCGGGTTCCGACACGTCAGGTTTAACTCCAGGAGTAGGTAACAAGCGCACGCACGGCAACGCCTCCAGTGGAACCACGCCTCCCCCGCAAACGGGGCCTTCCATCTTTGGCTCGATGACAATCAGTCACGTCGTAAGCCTTATTTTCTCTGTTATACGAGGTCTCACTGCCCAGCTGCCATCATGCGCCTTGAAAGACATCTTGCAAGGGATCTTGATATTTGAAACTATAGTTGTAACGATGTCAGGAGGGTCACATCAGGGTAATGACTGAGGCCCCTTCATACGCGGATAGAGTTAAAAATGCGACTGTTTTTCAATGGAACGCGAGAGGGCTTCGTACTAGACTTTCAAACTTTCGACAATTCACTTTCAAACACCAGTTTCCGATTTTGGCGATTAGCGAATCGCGTGTAGCGCCAGATTTCCGATTATCGGGTTATGAAGTATTCCAATCAGCTCGTAATTCTGACGTCAGCCGAGTCCTTCTCGCATTACGAAAGGACTTAACCTATATTTCGCATAGTGTCTCACCTCATCCGAACAATGAGTACGTCTGCGTTACTGTACAGAAAGGCAAGCTCACGTTCACTGTAATAGCAGCCTATATACCACCTGCTTGCAATTTCGATACCGCACGGCTGGATAATATCATCCGAGAATGCAAAACACCAGTTCTTGTTGTTGGCGACTTCAATGCCCATAATATCGCTTGGGGTAGTGTAAGAACTACACGTCGCGGAAGAGAACTACTCGAACTGGTGGATTCTTATGACCTCTGTCATTTTGAATGACGGTTCGCCCACATTCTTTCGGGGCAGTCGCTGTAGCAGCTGCTTCGACGTTGCATTCATGTCACGTGAACTCGTATCTCAGAACTCCTGGTTTGTGGACATAGAAAGCCATGACAGTGACCACTTCCCAACATACACTACAGTTCGCGGCTTCAAAGCCAGCAGTGCCAGACATAATATGACTTCGTATATCGACTGGACATGTTTTCGAGAAAATGTAGAACTGCGCATACAGACTGCAAATACTTA